TAGAGATGTTTTGTCCCTTTTGGGCAAGAGCTTGCAGTAAATACTGGGCATTGACAACCATCATTAAGCTGAGGTCATCTGCATACTGAATTTGGGTAATGAGACTCAGATACCCTCAGAGGATGGACTGAAGTTCCTCAAAAGAGGATCGCCTGAGTCATGAGTGGATGAGACTGAGCAGTGGGGGAAAGAAGATGGAGTATAGCGTGGGGCTGTGCCTGACCATTCCTCATCCCAAATCTTCATATCACCCCAAGGGTACGTACGGTACTCTAAGAAAGAGGAGTATAGTGCACAGTAAAACTCTGCTGTGGGTAACCTGTCAGAAGAGTTCTTGTGGACTGGAGAGGGAGCTCCTGATGAGAGCCAAATTGCCACAGGGGTTTATTTATTCAACTGTGCTTAATGAGTCTCTGCAGCAGCTCCATAGGGGCCAGCCTAGTACTATGTATGTGTGTAGGTGTAGAATTAAAAGAAGTGAAGTTTAAAATCAACTAAAAAATTAAAGCCAATTACTTAAAATACTTAAAACAGAGAAATGGATTGAAATCTGAGACAGAAATAAAGCCCAACAGGGTAGGACCTTATCACTGTAACACAGCTAACAGGATGAGAGAGAAAAAAAGTAGAGAGAGGAGGTTAAGTCTTAGGGTTTGTAAGGAGGCTGCTGAGGACAGCTCAACTTCCCAGTAGACAATATTCCATTTAGCACAAGGCAGACCTTCATCCCACTTGTGACTATTCCCCTGGTGGCTGTCACCCAGGCTTGCAATGAGAACTAGGCCTCAGTAAAGTCTGCATCCTGTGAGTATTGACCCTGTGCTAGACGCGGGTTAGACACTGATTATACGAAGGTGAAAAAGACTGTCTGCATAGCACTTTTCAGCAGGGAGACAGGCAGGTAAACAGCTATAAATTCAGTGTCATAAGGATTGTTTGAGACCTCCACACAGAGGATCCACAAGTAGGAGCAAAGAATTCTCTGGAGGTTTAGAGTTTTCCCAGATGTGACAAGTGAGCAGCACTCTGCAGATGAGCACACAGAGAAAGCAGGAAAGGGCATGGAGCTGAGAAAACAATAAGAGCAAAGGTTCAGAGGACACAATACACACATTTTCCCTTCCTCCCTCCCCGCACCCCCTCCCTTGCTACTGATTCTGAGATGTCTTATGTGGAGGGGGTGATGGTTTTCAAAGTGGTGAAAGGGTTGAGTGCCTAGACTATAGGTGGGGTTCAGAGTCCTGCAATGTTAGGATGGAAGAACAGGTTGGGCCTGGTTGTAAAGGGCCTTGGATGCCAATTAGCAGTTTACCACACATGCAGTGCTGCTCTCTCAAAGTTCAGGGGATAAAATCCTGCAGAAAGGGAACTCTGGCAGCCATGGAAAGGGTATGTAAGGGCAAGAATAATGAGACACTGGTAGTCTAATGTGGAGGTTATTATAGCAGGTCTGACGAGAGGTGATTAATCTTTGAAATGGGTTGGGGTCAGACATTTCCAAGTAGGATTGGTAGAATCTGGTGGCCTGTGGAACTGGGTCTGAAAGGAGCATGGTGGTGTTGTGGAGGGTGTGGACTTTATAGCCAGGCCAGCCAAGTTCAGTGTGATGCTGGCATTCACTAGCTCTGTGACTCTGAGCCAGGAACAGACATGTTCAAAGTTCAGTTCTCTTCTGTAAAAATGGGCACAATGCCAACTTACCTTTTTTTCAGCAGAGATTGAATGACACAATGTATGTGAATCTAAAGTTTTGTCTGGCACAAAATAAGTAATCCATACATTTGAGTGCACTTCAGCAGGTGTTCAAAGCCTCCCACGTGTGTTTCATGTGCATCTTTCTAGGGGAAGTCTTACTCTCCTGTACCCATTCCCTCCCTCCAAAAATAAAAGGGCTCTTCACTATTTCTCAGACATGGCCTATTCATTCTCATCCCTGTCTTTGCTCATGCTATTTCTTTTTTGGAATATCCTTCTTCTCCTCAGTTCTCATTTTTCTCCAGGGCAGTCAATTCACCTTAAAGGCTCTGCTTCAAATTGTACCTCGTCTAAGAACACATCCTCAGTTACCCCACGTGGAAATTATCTTTCCTTCCAAAGCATTCTATTGGAACCATTCTAATGACCCTTACACTATACTGCACTTTACCCGGCTATTTTAGGTACATATTTTCTCTCTTCTAGGTAGCATCTAGTTAATTTTTCTATTCACCGTAGTATTTAATTCAGTGTATGGTGTTATCAAAAGTAGACATTTGGGGCGCCTGGGTGGCTCAGTCGGTTAAGCATCTATCTTCGGCTCAGGTCATGATCCCAGGGTCCTGGGATTGAGTCCATATCAGGCTTCTTGGTCAGTGGGGAGCCAGCTTCACCCTCTGCCTGCCGCTCCCCTTGCTTGTGCGCTCTCTCTCTCTCTCTGACAAATAAACAAATAAAATCTTAAAAAAAAAGTAGACATTTTATGGATTAATATGATTGACTTGGGTAGAAAAGAGAGCAGTCAAGCAAGTACTAGCTGTGGGGGCAGGAGGAGGACGACACATGTCCTTGCTAGCAAGAAAATCAGAGGAGATGTACTGCTGCCAATCCTAATTTCATTACCCCCATTTCTAGTTCCACCTGTGTAAATCACAGTTCCTCCACAGCATCTGAGTGTGGCAAAGTTCAACATTTAAGGCCAGTAAAGAGTGTTTCAGACAACACCATCCTACTAGTTTACTGAGTTTTTGGTTGTTTTGTAGGTTTCACCTGTTTTGTGAGCTACAGGCTTAATTTAGATGAGTGGCAAAGACAGTACATGCTCTAGTTCTTCAGTGTTATTTCTGTAAGAAAAATATATAGTATAAATATTATATATATTTAAATATACAAGTATATGTTATATAAAAATATATAATATTTATACTATATAAAAATATATTAAAAATATATAATATAAATATAAAATCACAATCTAGCCTAACAGCAGATTGTTTCAAAATTAAATGATCTGATTAAGTAGCACACTCTTTTTTTCGTTTAGAAGTTTTAGCTTATTAAATCTGCATGGCTTAATTTCATGATATTAGTTTGTGGTCCCTTTAAGCACAGCAAAAGACATAGAGGAAGATAGTGTTGAACTCAGTGGCCTGGAAAAGCAGCCTGTAATGAAAACTTACAGTGGAAAAACTAGCATTTGTGTAATGGACAACCAGATGTGGTTAGTTTTTCTTAAACTTATCTGTAAAGAAAAGCAATTTTTGAGAACAATTGCCTAATATTTGTATTGTATTTAAAAATGAAAAAGAAACAGCTATTGTTTATGTGAAAGATCTTTATTTTCTTTTGAACAATATTAAAACAAATAAATTATTGTGCAGTTCACTAACATACTGAGCACATGTTAGCGTTAACCTTATAAATAAAAAGCACTTTTGGTGCAATTACAGTAAAGTAATAGAGACAATTTGATAGTTATTTATCTTACCACCTTATAAAATTGCCTGCTCATTTCACATTGTTCTTTTAATGTTCCTCAGTGATATTTTAAAAAAAGTCAAAGTCCCATCATGAAATGTACTTCTGTTGATTGACATATTTTAATTCTATTTACTGCTAATGACATCAACAGTAAATCACATTTAAAAGACATCTTTAAATATTACCCTTTATTCATGTGCTTCACAGTGTCATAAGAAAGTGGTTTAAGTACCCAAATGTAAATGAAGTAGAACTCTGATATAAACCTCCTTTACAGAGGAATAAAAGTTGGGTAAACCAGCGCTTTTTGTTGTTGTTATTGTTTATTCTTTTTCAATGAGTTTATTCTGTTATTTCTGATTATACAATTTTGTGAATTAAATGATTTTGTAAGGAAGACTTTATAATTTTTTTTAGAAAAAGACATGATCTAATTTTTTAATAAAAATTATAATGTAAAGTTAGCTTCCCAATGCCAAGTCACAATTAAGTATGTTCTCTAAAGAACATTCACAAGTGCTCTCAATTTTTTCATAGACATATGTACAGAGAATCACAAGTATCAGCTCACCTGATTAGAATAATTTTCTTATGAAGAAAAACACCCTTCATATATTCTTTCACAAAGATACTATTGTATAATTAATGTTGAAACCCAACTAAGCTGAACAAATGTTTAACAAATTTTTCACCCTGTGGTTTTTTATTTTCAAGCTTAAAATAAAATTTAAAAAATCATGAAACACTATAAAATTGTCATAAATTGAAAGCTATACTGACGTATCAATAAATGAAATATTCTTTGACATAAACTATAATACAAACAGCACATTTTAACTACTGGTTTTTTAAAGTAAATGCGAATTATAGAATTTGGCTAGAATATTCTGATATATAGTAAAAGTAGAATTATTTCATACATAATCTGAAAAGTTCCAGGTGTAACTGACAGTGATTTTTAAAATGTAAACATTTCCTTTCCTTTGTGTAGTTGTGTTATTGTTCAATTAAAAATAGAGTCCATGTATGACAATTAAATATTATTCCATTTCTAATTCTCTATGTAGTCATGATAAGAATAACCAGAAACTGAAATCAAAATTACATTCTAGATTTATTTGAAAATGCAGAAATAATATTAAGAAACCATCAGCTATGCCTGAAATATTTCCTAAATTATTTTTGATTATAAATTGTATCAACATGAGTAATTTCATAAAGAGGTCTAGATGCTACATATAATAGTTTATGGTGTACAGACTCCTCAGTCAAGTTTCTATTGTGTAAATATGCTGAAATAGAACTTCTCTGAGATGAACTATCTTGCTGGTCCACAGAATAACTCTGTAAAACTGTATTCAGATTTTAATCTGAATTATAATCTAATCTGACATCCACCCAAAATGGGTGTTAATAGATTTTCATCATCAGTTGATTTGTGCTAATTCTTCTTTTCAGTGGACCATGTATACATTTATTACTAAACCAATGTAGTCAGATAACTTGTTGCAAATGAAACTCTTCAGAAACAGCTACTTTAGGAGATGCTTTCAAGTATAAAAATCAGGAATCCTTTAACTACTTGAAAGATACAGAAAATGCATTTAAAAAGTCAAGAAGTTTCCCAAATATCCATGTTGCTCATGTCAGAAGAGTTTTACATTTTAAAAGATCAATCAGAAAAATGTTAATTAGCTTAAAGGATTTTTTTTTCTTTCATTCATATAATCAGGTAGGATCTCACTCATGTATTTACAATTAGGAAGTCATTGACATTAAGTAACTTCTTCTCATTGACTGATCTGTGAAATGCTGCTGAGGTAATTTTCAGACTTCATTATAAAATTTGTCCACTCCTGACAAATGCCCTCCATGGAGAATTCTGTACCACCATATTCCAGAGGAAGAATGTCTGGGAAATGCTGAAGTAAGCTTTGTTTGTAATTGTTCCCGTGCATGTGAATCTGAAATAGCCAAAATGTTTTAGAAGATATACCCTCAGTCTCTCAGTAGATTTGATATATTTTTAATGTAAAATCAACACCACAGAGCAAGGCATTCTAATGACTTTCAAGATAGGAGAGCATGTATAGACACTATGCCCTTTATTTCTCTGCTTTTGTAAGAATTATACTTAAATTTCTATTGTGCTGCTTATCAGTCTAACCACCTTATTGCTTTTTATATGTATTTGTGTTTGTATAACTATATAAGATTTATAGAAAGATATTCTGTCCTCTTTCAAAAATAGATTTTTAAAACTCTAAATAAAATTATTTTATACAGTCTATTCCCTAATGTACAGGTGATTCTTAGCAAAATATCTAACATCCTGAGACTGTTCTAGAGATGATAAAAATATACTTCCTGGTATTAGTTCATATGAATTAGAAGCATATATCTGCGCACACCGCTATGTATATGGGGAGTAATTTATGTGGTACAGTTGATGGATACTCTTGGCTAGAACAGAACTGAGACAATTATGATGGTTGAGAACCTTAAATTTTCAAATATTTTAAACTATAAAAAGTGATCATATAATGCCATGAAGTTAAAATAAAGACTTAGAGCCTTCAATTAAAAGCACATCTTGCTAAAAATAAATAAGTGCCCTTTTTCCATCTGCTAGGGTAAAATGTTCATCTGTACATTCAATGATCATTTAAAAACAGCTACTGTATGCTAGGATAGGAGAATTGAAAAATGAATGAAACAAGTTTCCTGGAGTTGGGAACCTCAGAGTCCCAATTCTTGATTTCTTCTGAAATGTTTAAAATATCATCAGCTAATTGAAAAAAATTCTACCATTTCCTCAGAAGGGGGCAAATAAAAACACAAGGTATTGCCAAAATGTTGAGAGGAGAATGGCTTGATTGGGTCCCCATCTCCCTTACTTTGGCAAGTCTGTTTCATGTCAATTACCTTTCACTGAAATGCTCCACCTACCTTCTCAATTTTTAAATTTTTCTTTCTTGTTTGCTCATATTCTCCTATTCATTAGGTTCGGTTCATTGTTTTTGTTTTTATTTGTCCAGAATATAACCCAAAATAGAAATACTTAGTTTTAGATCTTTCAGAGTTAAACAAAACGTGTCAGATATTATCAAGCTACACTGAAGAGAGACAAAAGTGAGCCCCCCAAAATTGACTTTTCTAAAAATGCTAGAATGAAAAGTGGCCATCTTCATAGGTGTAGTTTTTCTTGAAGACAGATAGAAATTCCTACTGGATAACCTCTACAAATTATCCTTTATAGACTAATGTAGAAGGGTGGTTGCCATTCTTGGGAATTCAAATTTTATTTTTAATACTTGAAAAATCCCAAGAGATATTAGATATTCACCTGAGATGAGGCTCCACAAGATAGGTAAAAACAAAAACAAAGAAACCCATCAAATCTCTTTGCTTTAACTAACATGACATTAAGTCACATACCTTGGGTATTGGGGTTTTCAGTTATGCATGTCTAATTTAAATACATTTATTTTTTATTTGCACAGATAATACATTCATATGGCTAGAAATCAAAACAAGATAAAAGATATACAATGAGATGCCTTGGTCCCTACTCAAATCTCATCCACCCCGTCCACACCTCTACTCTACTACATATAGTTAGGTTGCTTTCTTGTAGCCTTTTAATGTAAATGCAACTAGAGATTCTGATTTCTCCCCTTTTTATACAAAAGGTAGCATACTATAAAAATTATTCATTTTTTTATTTCACTTTACATCATGAAAGTCTTATTGTATTCCATTGTGTTGATACAGCTGTTTATTTAACCAGTTCCCTAATGATGAACACTTGGCAGTTTCCAGTCTTTTGCTGCAATGAATCCTTTTGTAGCTGTAATTTTGTTTATGTGCTGGTATATCTGTGGGATAAAATCCCAGAAGTGCAAAGGCTGTGATTTTGATAACTATTACCACACTGCCCTCTATAGGGAATATACCATTTTGCACTCCCACTTCAATGAATGAGAGGCTGTTCCCCCCACAGCCTAACTTGATTTTCCAAATTAAAAAGGAATTTTAATTTATAAAAATGCTTTGTTAGACAAATACTTAAAACATTGGGTTAATTGTGGGGAGGGGAGGTAATAATTCAATCCTTAAATAAAAAGGTTTGGAACATTTGGTACAGAAGAATAGTGACTTGAATATGTTTTACTTACCCGTTCCTTAATTTTTTCAGTCAGGAATGGTTTAATCAGGGAAAAGACAGCATGGAAAATTATTGGCTGATTTATCAAATGGATACCACGAACTTTTAATGGAAAGGAATCCTTTTGAAAATAAAAAAATTATTAATAACAAAGCATAAATCAATATATATTCCTATTGACCAGTCCCTTCTCTGAACACTTGCTTTACTTAGTGCAGTACCTAAAGTGGGATTTTATTTTCAGAATTATTTATTCCATCAACACAATATCCTGCTCTGCAGTTCACAGTCATTAGATTAAGGAAAGATCCTGAAAAAGCTTTCACCTTATAGCTTAGGCAAAGTATTTTAAGAAAGACCTGCATCTTTTGTAAGTAAGACACAGAAAATATCCTTTCCAATCACATATAAATGTTCTTTCAATGAACCAGTGAGTCATTTGGATGTTTATATTTAACCATGTTCCCCCAATTTTTATTTTGAGAAAAAAATTAAAATCTCATAAGAAGCTGAAGGAATAGTAAACACACACTTTTAAACTTGGCACAGGTATAGGTCTTTCACATCAAAGTAATATAGGTTTATTTAGAAAGCTTAAAACATTAAGAATTAAAACAAAAAACACCTCATCAATAGTTTTCCTATACAAAATATGTTAACATACAGACTTCTCCTGCCAAATTTCTTTCATGCAAAATTCTTTTTTTTTTTTTTTTTTTACCTATGCATAGCTTTTACAGATGTGTTATCAATTTGGAGCTTTTCCTTCCAGGTTCTTTCTATGAATAATTTTATTTTAAACATAATTGCCAATATGCTGTCTAAATAATTTGCACCCTGTTTTGTTTCATTGACATAATACAATTTTTACACATATCATGAGTTTCAGTATTGCGATAATCTATCAAATGGACATACCATAATTTCCCTATTTCTGGAAAAATAAACTGTTTCTAATTTTCATCTATAAAAATTGATTCTATAGTAACTATCTTTATTTATCGGAGGCAATGGTGGTTATAAACACAACTCCTACAGTCAGATGACCTGAACTGGAATTCTTGCTTCACTGCTGACAAAATGTGTGTACTTGGGCATTGCTACGTCACCCCTCTGACATAGCTAATTAATCTGTAAAATGGGAAAAATAATAGCTATAGGCTTGTTTGGTCATTAAAGGGTAATGCACTTGAGACATTTAGCAAAGTACTTGGCACATAATAAGCTACTATTGTTATTATATATGAAGTCTTTACTGTATTTCAGATTATTCGTTGGCTAGGTCCCCGAAAGTAGAATTACTGGATCAAAGATGATGGCCATCTTAAAAACCTTTTAATTTCTGAAAGAATTATATCAATTTATACCTACCAAGAATGTAACATTTTATTGTACCATTGCTATAAATATTGTTTTGAGTCAATTTTTTAATTTAGGAAGAAAATTTTAATAACAGAAACAGGAAGTTACCATGTTATTATTTAAATGTATAAATTCTGTAGTTACTAATTTTGAACCTGCTTTCAGTTTCTTGCAACATTCTTTCTTTTATGAATTAATAGCACTTTATTTCCTCTTAGCATTATTGAATTCTATGTGTCATTTTAAAATTATTTATTTTCTAATAAATGTACTATCCTCTTGCTTTGTTGAACATATAACTAAATTGAAATCTATTATTTGGAATTAGTATCCCAAAGAGTTAAAATATACACTTACTGTAAGAACAGCAGCAATCTTCTTGGCTACGGATGGGGTGATTTGAAAAGCATGAGAAAACTGCCAGCCTTCTAGATCAAAGATAGCCTTGATACCATTCCGTTGTGTTTCTACCTCCTGTACAATAAGCTCGGATGTGATTAGACTTACGCGAAAAACATCATAAGCTGTGAAAACTTTTGGGTCCCATTGTGCTAAAAAAAATTTTAAAAATAGCATAGCTCAGCATAGTGTAAAGATTCAGGAAGATTTACAAAGGGAAACTAATTCTTTTGAGACTTAAGACATCAGTAGAAATAAAAACATGGACAAAGAGCATGGACTGAATAATGGATCAATTTGGTAGTCCAAAAACACGTTCCTGCTATTTCCTCCATCCTCAAATCCTTAGGGAAGAACAGATTTTTAAGGGCATGGGGGAGAAGAGAATGAATGCAGGCTGGATTTGATTGCCAGATGAAACTATAGCCCAAAACATTCAGGAGGGGGTTGTGGCTAAAGAGGAAGATGTCCCCAGGTATGCTCCCAGGTATGCTCCCAGCTCGGAGGTGTTGGAAATGGGAAAAGCAAAGGCTTTGGGGTGATAAAGGATTATAAAGAGTAACTAAGGTCCCTATAGTAACCAAGGAGGGTGCTAAGAGAAATGGATGAAGAGCAGACTGGCAGGCTGATGTATCAGACACCCCTTGGTGGCAACAGCACATAGCTGTCATGTCTGCACAGGCCAGAACAGTTTAAGTGTAGGCTTTGGAAAAGAGCCAGGGAAGCACTCCGGTAGCTGCCTACACCCAGGGGAAACAACAAAGCATTACTGACATTCCTGTCCTCTCCCCTCCCCCACCATCCCTGGGCAGGCCAGGGCAAACAGAAATGACAGTAATGGACAGGCAAACAGGTGATCTTAAAAGAAGATAACACATTCACTAAGTATTATAACATTTTTAAAAATACACACAAAGAAGAGGGGAACCACATTCAATACACAAAGGCATTAAAACCTAAAGAAACAGTTAATAAAGCAAGAGACATTAAAAAGAAGCAAAATAGTTTCAGTGAGGGAATAAAAGGGTAATGTAGGCTATTATTATAAGAACAGGTTATTATTTAAAAGAATGAGTTGAGGTCTGGAAATAAAAAGATGATAATTCAAGCAAATCTCAGTTGATGGGACAAATAGCAGAAAAGACACAGCCAATGAGTGCATAATGGTTTGGAATACCAAGCTGAGGAATTCTCTGAAAAGAGCCAACAGTTGATATGTATGCATCAAAAGACTCATGCAGCTAGAGACATGTAGCTAGATCCAGAGTTCTGACATCCAACTAATTAGAGTTCTGGAAGGAAATAATGCAGAGAATAGGGAAGAGGGGAAAGAGGAATAACAGTAGAGAAAAATGTTCCAAAGCTGAAAAAAAATGCAAGTCTTCATACTGAAGGTTCCAAGGAGTGCCTAAGGAGACAAATGAGAAAGGGGGAAAAAAAGATTCATGATTAAGTAATGGTCAAGTTTCAAAATACCAAAGTTTCTGGCTTGGACAACTGGGTAGAATGGTGGTACCATTTATTGAGATAGGAAACAGGGGAAGAGAAATGTTTTGGGAGGAAAAAATCACAAGTAGTTTTGGACACGTAAATATGGTGAATGAGAGACATCCGACTGGAGAAAGTTGGAATAGGGAGCTGCTCATACAGATCCCTGGGGACAGGAGATGGTGGGGTGAAGACAGAAATCTGAGAGTTGTTTGTACTTGCATGACAGCCTGCAACAGGGATTATTTTAGGTCTATGCAGAAAGTAGCATAAGAAGAGGAAGCTAAGGCCAATGCACTAAAGAATTTCAGAATTGAAAAGGTGGTAGAACAGGTGGTGCCAGCAAAGGAGACTCAGAAGGGGCAGCCAGTTTGAGTCAGGGAAAATATCAGGAGAATGTGGCATTAGAAAAGCCAAGAGAAGAGGATATCTCAAGAAAGAGCAAGTGGTTTGCTGTGTTGAGAGATCAGGTAAAACAGAACTAAACGTGTCCATTAGATTTGGTGAAAAGAAGGTCACTGATGATTTGTTAAGGTCATTTCAGCACAGAGGTGGAAGTGAAACCAGGCCAGGGTGGACTGAGAGGAATTGTGAAAAACTGTGTGAAAATATGGATGGCGAACATCACTAATTTGAGATGTTTGGCTGAGAATGAGTAGGGAGATGGCTGGGGTGGAGGCTGGAGGATCTTGTGGGATTGAGAAGGAGTTTTTGTTTTGTTTTGGATGGCTGACCCTTAATAGAGTTAAATGTTGATAGGGAGTGTCTACTAGCAAGGAAAAAATCGAAGATAGAAAAGAGACAATCAGAAGTATTCCCAGAAAGGCATAATGGGATTGCCCTTTGCTTTTTAAGAGCCTCAGCTGCCTGCTAAGAATTTGAGTAATCAGTTCATGGATAACCCAGCTCAAATATACTATACTACTTCAGACATTGGCAGAAAGCTACAATGGTGAAAAATACAAGCAGAATGATTGAAAGTCTGCAGTCAAGAAAATAGTTACTGGCCTAAATTCCCGAGCTCACCAACATAGTTGTCTAGACCTGTGCTGTCTAATGAGGTAGCCATTAGCCATGTGTGGCTATTTAAATTTAAACTGATTAACATTAAATAAAATTAAAAATTCAATTTCTTAGTAGCAAAAGCCACATTTCAAGTGCTCAATAGCCACATGTGACTAGTGGCTACTGTAGAACAATTTCATCATCATAGAAAATTCTATTGGATAGCGCTGGTCTAGACTCTAAGCTCCTTTAAGGCAAAAGGAAAATATGCCTTAACTTCTTCATTCCTTTTCCAGCATCTCTTTAATATTTATTGAGTGCTCATTATATGTCGGGTAATGTTCTAATTATATTTCATGTGTATGACAGGATTTAATGCTCATAGGAACCCCGTGAGATAGGTTTTTACTATGCCTGTTTGACAGAGGACAAAATGGGGTTGCAGGTACATAGCTGCCCATGTAGCTAGAACATAGCAGAGCTGCAGTTCCAACCTGGGCAATGTGCTATAGAACTTTAACCCTAAGAACTAAGCCACAGTCAAAACGTAATACTCACTGTTAAATTTTATTTTTGCTGCAACAGTATAATAGTTTCAAAAGGCATAAAATTATATCTGGCTGGTAGTCTAATAGTGGCAAAAACTGAGTTTCACCTTGTGTTGCCCTGATGGACTAGAGAAAAAAAGGTTCTGTGCATTTTCACTGCAGAGATGGTACCTAGGGAAAGGTGGTTATGCTAATGTTCTACCCAAAACCTCTACCACAGATTTCCTTTTTTAGTTTCTCCCATTAATTCAATTACATTTAGGAAATTTATAAATCTTTATCCTATCCTTTCCTTTTACTCCTGAACCTCTTCTGAGTTTTCCCTTTGCACCCTAGAAAAAGATCTTACTCTACATAACACACAGGAAATTTGCTGCATGCCCTTCTGTTCTGACCATCACTAACTTACACGTTTTCTGTTTTTCTTTTTAAGATTTTATTTATTTGACAGAGAGAGAGCGCACAAGCAGGGGGAGCGGCAGGCAGAGGGAGAGGGAGAAGCAGGCTTCCCGCCGAGCAATTAGCTGGATATGGGGCTCGATTCGATCCCAGGACCCTGGGATCATGACCTGAGCTGAAGGCAAATGCTTAACCGACTGAGCCACCCAGGGACCGCCCCAACCCACATGTTTTCTTGATTTTAAAAACAGTATACTTAAATGTTAATGTACCATGAGAAACCCTCTCGCTAAGCAATAGAAGACAACTGATGCAGTGTTAAGGTATGTATGTATGTATGTATGTATGTATTTATTCATAAAGCTTTTATTTTTAAATTATCTCTATACCCAACGTGGGGCTCAAACTCACAACCCCGAGATCAAGAGTCGCACGTTCCACTGACTGGGCTAGCCAGATGCCCCCAGTATTAAGGTATTTATGATCAAAGTAGCACATTTGTTTTTTCACTATCAAGATGTCATTTTTACTTCTTAACTTGCCCCAGGTAATTTATGAACAAATTTGAAAAAACTCCAGCCAGGCAGTACAGAGAGGGTACTTGCAGAAAGAGCCCCCTGAAGGTTTCAGTTTTATGCTCCTGGGACCTTTGAGTAGCATTGCCAGATAAAATATGAGACACCCTGTTAAAGCTGAATTTCAGATAAAAAACAAATAATTTTTTAGTATGTATGGAGCATACTGATACTAAAAAATTATATCCTGTTTATCTGAAATTCAAATTCAGACTGGACATCCCATATTTTCATACACTCTATGTTTACTTGCTACATAAAACATAGATAATATCATCATTCTCGCAACTCTACCTCTAAAGAACTTGGGGAACTAGATTCATCATCCTATAACACTGGTGGAGCAACAAAAGGACAGGGCAGACATTATGACGTCTGTTTTATGGACAGTGGCTTCATGACTGACCCAATTGTATCTGACACATAAGCAGGAGCAAACACCTGGAATCATTCTCCTCGGTCTTCTGATACCCTAAAGAATTACATGCAGCGCCTTCTTTTCAAGATCATAAACAGCTGAGTTACAAGCAGGTATCTTATCTATAATCAGGTAGAAAAAGCAAATCTATAAAGAGGCCACAAGAGGATGCTGGGAGCAGTGTGAGTCCTTCTTCATTACATGCCATTTTTAATCACACACAGGTCTAAGGGAGGGGCAGTCACACTAAAGGAAATACTAGGAAGGCCTAATGGTGAAAAGGGGAAGCTATGACAAGAGGGGTATGTGGAATACAGTGTCTTCAACGCAACTCAGGGATGCCGCTTTCCCACCGGACCTTCCCCCATCCCAGAGAATAAGCCCCTGGCTGCTCAGCCTTGGGTGTTATCCAACTAGCCATTCATTCACTCCAGAAATATTTAATACATCCCTACCATATACTAGGTCCTGGTTTCAGTGTTAGGATACAGACAAAATCCATGCTCTCATGGAGCTTGTGTTAATACCGTTCAGAATTCTTATTTGGATTTCCTACCTAAGCATTTTCTAAACACTTTACACCTTGATCTTTTTCACCTTTCCCCCCATATTTCTCTACTCTGCTTTCTTTCTCTCTTATTTTATACCGCTGACTCTGTGGAAGAATGGAAGCAAGCTTTTCGTTGGTTTCTAATTTTCTCACAGTTGCCAGTTTTATTATATTTGAGGGACATTACAATCTAAATTAAACCTAAGTTAAAACCTGAAAAGTGAAATTCTTAAATATGGACTCATAAAGCTTTCAATATGGCAGCCAAGAAAAAGAAAAGCAGTGCTGTATATGACTTACCGATTCTGTAAATAAGAACTTTGCTGCCAGTGGGATCTCTGGCTCTCAGGACTCCGAGGTAACCAGCCTTCAGAAGTCCCAGAATACGTCTAGGGCACAGATCTGCACTTATTTCTGGACATTCTGCTCTCCACTTATAATAATTTTTCAGTAACTGAAAAATAAAATAAAAATTGATTACAGATGTCATACATGGTAAGCACCTCGTAAAAATGGAAGCAAAGCCTTGGCATTATGTACAGCTCTTACCATCCATTATGTCAGGATTATAATCTGGAGTGTTTTTTTTTTTTCATTGTAAAAATTTAAGTTCCCTTCTTCAAGCATCGCAGGTGATAAGACTTCATCACAAATTCAAGTTGAGTAATTTTCATTTGTCTCCTATGGTTGGTAGTCTCCAAAGATAGCTACCAATAATACCTCCCCTCCTGGTAGACACATGCCATTTGTCCCGTTACAGGTGGAATCCAGTTGATTCCTCCCCCCAGAATCTGGGCCAGCCTTACATTTTACTTTGGCAGAAGTGACACTGTGCTGGTTTAGGAAGGCTGGGACTTTCTGCATTGGCTTTTGGGGACCCAGAAACCACATCAGAATAAGATTATTAAATAGTAAGTCTATGTGGAAAGAGGCACTAGACAACCAGAGCCCATCTTGGTCTGGTCTCAGCCAAGTTCCCATCTGATGCAATGTGGATCACAGATGAGTCATCCCCACTGAGCCCTCCCCAACTGAGAGAATCACAAATAAATAGTTGTGGTTTAAGCCACTAAATTTGGGGATGACTTGTTACTCAGCAATAGATAACTGAAATATCCACTGTTAGTCCATTCTGAAATAAGGAAAAATAGAAATCAAATGAATTAGGTCTACAAATATTTTTGGAGCATCTACAATGTTCTACACACTGGATAGGCACTTGAGTTATAGCCATGAACAGAATAAAATGCCTGTGGGGCATTTTATTGAGGCTTATTGGGGCTGACCCGCTGGTGACAACTGGATCATACATGCCATGCTACATAGTGAAAAGTTAAATTCCCAGGCTGCTTCGTCAGAAAAACCTTGACTCTACCATATATCACCTGTGTGATCTTGGGTAGTTATTTAACTCCTTTGTGTCTTGTTTCCTCCATATCTGCTTGCAGGATTAAGCGTAAAGCATACATGGACATAATGAGTGGTAGTTACCCCTGCTATTGTTGTAATAGGAAAGTTATTTGGATTTATTGCTCATCTGAGTATCTTAGTGCAGGTTTATGTTAAAGATAACTAGAATTTTTTGGTTTCATTTTCTTTACTAAAAAAAAAGAGCTAAATCAAAGATATAAAGGAACATCTCTATACCATTGCTATACTTTCTACTAATAGAAAGACAACAAAAATCAACTTTGTTAATAGTGGTATGTATTCCGAGCAGAACAGTAAGCCCAGATAGTAGGTCTTGGTAAAGTGTGGTCTGAAGGAATCCCGTTTTCTTTTCATTTTAAAAGAACTGCCAATAATGTTTACTCTGCATTTATAAGAAATACGGATATTGCCAGTATGTTGTGGAGAATACTAACATCAATGCATTTAAAGTTTATTATAGTTTAATTTTCCTCTTCACGATGTTTAGCATTCTCAATTTTTGTAAAATGACAATATGTTTGGGTTTTTTTGTTTTGTTTTAAAGATTTATTTTGAGAGAGAGAGAGCACAAGAGGGAGGGGCAGAGGGAGAAGGAAGGAGAATCTCAAGCAAACTCCATGCTGAGCGCGGAGCCTGAGGGAAGGCTCGATCTCACGACCATGAGATCAAGACCTGAGCTGAAACCAAGTGTCAGAGGCTTAACCATCTGCACCACCCGGGCACCCCAACAATAAGTCTGTTTTGAGTTTAAAGAGGTGAGGAATGGAAGTTTAGATGAAAGGAAGGGACGAATTTCATATTTGAGAGTCATTGGAATAAACATGACAGGTGTGATCACAAAGTAGTAATGACCTGGAGGAGAAAGAACAAATAGAAATTTAAAAGCCAAGTAGAGGGTGAAATTCCGAACCTGGGGCAACGTTAATGGCTGGCAAAGCCTGGAGAAAGAGAAAAGCTGGCTGGACTGGAGGAGCCTCGACACCATGGTGCACAGAAGGGAGGAAAAAGTTATGTATGTCTCCTGCCCCCCTCTCCTCTCTCTCTCTTTTCTCCCTGATGTTGTCTTTCTAACTTTCTCTATCTCTGTCTTTCTCCGTCTCATTTCTTCATTTAATAAACTTTTCTGAACTCTTCTAAAAAAGAGAATGTTGCCACGGGCTGAATAAAACTGCAAGGTAGAAAAGAAAAAAGTCCCTAAATTAGCCAACAAAGAAATAATTGGTGACCTAAATAGCAATTTCCAAAAGCAGAAAGAACAGAAGGTACATTGTAGATTCTGATATATTCATTCTACTCTTTGAGTTTCTCTTCCTCCTCCTGTCTTAGAGGGCATCAGAATAAGTGTTAAAAGAATGTTACAGTGCTCATTACTTTGATAGCTCCCTCAGATACAAAAATAGTCCTTTGAATTCTGATTCAAGCAAAACACTAGAAGGAGCATATTTGCTCCTATATAAAAGTAACGATTTTAATTTCCCATGGAATCATAGAAGTTGTAGCTTCATTAAAAGGGATCTTTTAGGTAACAGGCAGGGTCCTCAGCTTATTCATCTCTGCAGAATGCTGGGCACCCAGGAGATAGGTACAAGTGTTGAATGAAAGAATAAATTAATGCATGAATAAACCAGCCGAATTCACATACTTGAAAAGCTGACTTTTTCGTAAAGGTGCGCAAATCACTCTCCTGCCTTTGACATTTAACTTTTGCAAATTGAAATATCTAAACCTGGATCGTTGAGCATTACTTTTCCTCTGACAAATAAATTCAATACTCGGCTGACATAAATAAGTTATGTAAATAACACAACCGCTACTGAGCAATTCTCAAACAAATCATCAGAAGTCCACAACAACAACAAAACTGGCAGCAGGTGAACATTCATTACTGGAAGGCACCTGTTTTTGCCCCAGTTAGGAATAAATAAATGTAAAAAGTTAGGGTTTATTTTAACTATGCTTTGTAATAGAGTCAGTTTCGTCTTATATTTTTCATGTGCTTTCAAACAAAATAAGAGCTGTAGTGTTGGTGTGTTTACCGGGTTTAATGGCATCATTTCAATTCCTTCTCACGACCATCCTGAGAGGTAACTACTATTTTCCCACGTTAAGGATAAGAATACCAAAGCTCAGAGAAGTTACACATTTGTTTAAGGGCAGTAACTATCAGGAGCAGAGTCACTGAAACTGACATGTGATATGACAAATTCTACAAAAGAAGCTACAGGAAGAGTCAATGGATTTTTGAAAGCTTCAAAGACTTTGGGGAAACCGTAAACATACTTAAAGGAAAAAAAAACTTACCACATAGAACAAAAACATAGGGAACTGAACTAGTCACTTATAAAAGACAGGAACTCACAAGAACATGTAGGACAGACAGAGGTTAACAGTTGGCCGTTTTATGTTCATTGTTTTGAACAGAAGGGGCAAGTGCAGTATACTTGTGAGCATAGGCTCTGCAGAGTTCAACCCAAGTTCAAATCCCTCCTCTACCACTTAATACCTGATTTTGGACTAGAAACTGCATCTGTTTCTTCTAAAATGAGAAAATAATGAGATGATCCACACAAACACTATTTACCCAAATACTTGGTACTCTATAAACTTTTAGAATCATAAAAACCTCATTAATTCATTGTATCTTCAAATACAAAAACTAGAATAATGAGAAATTTCATTGTAACTGAGGGGCTTATCAAGCTTTCTTCATATACTAAAACTATAGGGCTTTTATATTATAAATAAGGGAGTTTGAGTTAAATTAACTGCCTTTATGGAGGAAATTGAAAAAAAAAATAGTTTCACACTCTAAGCCTTTCCCTTTCCTTTCCAGTTGGCAGAAAAGTAAGGCAAAGAGTTCACAGACAGAAACTTGATCCCTATCCAGTGGATTTAGACAGTCTTGCTAACCAATTCCTCAAGGACATGGTGAAATGAAAACAATTCAGGAAAATAAAGAATACAGAAAACAATATATATAACAGCTGCTGGGGGTAACTTTTATTCCTTCTTGTGTTTAACATTACTTTTGAAAAGCAGCTAAAATGAAATCAGTAAATCACACACTTTTTTATTATTAGTGATCTCTACACATTTATATGTTTAATGTTTCATTTAAACTGCACTCCTCATAGGACCTAAGATTGTCTTTATATTTAGTAGTTGCTGAGTAAATATTAGTTTATTACCCATGATGTTGGGATACCTGAGTAGCCATCTGACAAAACAAAAATAAAGTCAGATTCTTATTTCATTCCTAACATCAAAATAAATCCTAGTAGGTTAGCAACTCCAACATTAAAAGGAGACATCATAAATTACCAGAGAAAATTTTGGAGAGGAGAAGAGCTTATAAAACCCAGAAGCAATCAAAGAACAATCTAATCGATACATGTGATTACATAAAAATGTTTAAACTCTGCACAGAAAAGAAAAATAGTACAAGCAATGTCAAAAGACAACAGACTAGGGCAAAGGCTTATTTTCTTTAATACATAAAGATATTTTATGAATAAAAAATGTATATGTATATTTTATGTGAACAAAATGGAAGAAAATTAACAAACTAAAAACAGCTAACTGGAAAATAATCTAAAAATTTTAAATATATGAAAGATGATTAACCTCACTTATAATTAAACAAGTGCATATTATAATGAGAACCAATTTCTCACCAAGCAGGTAGACACAGATCATAATGTTTGATAGAACAGTGTAGGTGATAATATGGAGAAAAAGGCGCCATTTTGTAATATAAAAGTGATAAAATTAGTGCAAACGCTTTGAAGGACACTTACATTCATCAACCCTGAAAATGCATACTTCACTTCATCCAGGAACTTTACAGGTTGAACTTATAAGGATATATTCCTATTTTTGCACAAAGACCTGTGTATAAAGAGATACTACAATATCCAGTTGGTGATAGAAGAAACCCCATTTGTCTTGTTTACTGCATTTTGTGTACAGCCAGGCAAATTGTAAGAGTTCAAAAAATAATCATTGAATGAAGGAAAGAACAGCATGTGTTGGCATTGCCATTGGCTGAGAATAACTCCCCTATCTAATAACCGGGACTGCTTAATAAATTTAGATATAATAAATCCATACAATGGAATAGTACACAGCCCCCCAAAAGAATAAGATTTATGCACACATACTGAACTAGGCTGATCTCTATGGTAAATTAGGTAAAAACAAAAAACAAAAACAAAAACCAAACAAACAAGGCCAAATGTAAAACACATACATATGCTTGTGTGAGCACAGACTATGTCTAGAAAGATAAACAGGTAACAGTAACTGATTCTGGGTAGAGGACCAGCAAAATGAAGGTTTGGGGTGGGGAACTTTTTTCCTTTATAAAGTTACTTTTAGAAACTTACTTTGCACTCTTTACTGTTCATAAACAAAAAAATCACCCATGCTCTTTACTTTTTCAATTAAAAATCAGTTAACAACAACAACAAAACTCATACTGGGTCATGTTTTGATTCTGCACTAGTATACTTCCCCTGTCTCCCACCTCCCAATATGACACCGAGTAAGCCACTTGGCAGAAGGGCTAGATCAGATTCAATTGCTGAGTGCTTACTATATTGTCAAGCTCTGTGCTGGGTACGTGTTGTTCTGCTAAATTGGTTAATGTTCAATCCTCGAAATCAGTGAGGTAGGCTTTCTCACCATTATTTAATAGAAGAGGATGCTGAGCCCAAAGTGACAGAACTGAAGGTTACATCCCTCTTTTTTGGTTCCTGTCTTCCTATCACCCCTTCTTCAACCATCTGTAACATACCTGGAAACACAAAAGAACCACCTCATCCCACATCTTTCCACTCAAAATATACTGGACCGCTTTACTGTCCTGACACTTAAGTATTATTATTAATAATGGCGCTATTTTGCTAGAATTTGGCTTCAGACCTTCAATTTTACTGGCAACTTCATTTTCCCCACCACAGGTGGAGTGATCTGCTAAAATGTGATAAATCTAGGTTTCCTACTTCAAAACTGTTACTGTTTTATATCGCTGGCTTCGACCAGGGACAGGAAAGACATCCCTATCTCATCTAGAGCACAGTTCCAGTGTTTGGGGTCAAAGGCGCCATCACCCCAGAGCGCTCCAGCTTTTTCTAGGTTTCCTGTTTCCGTGACTCAGAGAAACTTGGAAGGACCCGCGCGGGAGTTCTCAGAACACCTGCAGCCACCGCGCCCGCCGCCCGGTGCGTTAGAAGGGCGCCGAGCCACCAACGCTCGGCAGGCAACTAGGGATTTCACAGAGGTCTGGCCATGCCGCTGGTCCCCGGCCCTGCCCGCGCAGGGGAACGCAGCAGGGAAGCGTGCTTACCCGCCAGGCCAGGTCGAGGTCGAAGTCCCGGGCGCGCAGGAACCGCAGCAGGAAGGAGTCGGTGAGTGGCAGAGGCGTCGGCGGAGCGCCCGACGCCCGGGCCCGGCGCCGCAGCTCGGCCAGGCTGGGCTGCAGCAGCGGGGAGTGGTCGGGCAGCGCGCTGAGCTGCAGCCCAGCCGCCGGCCCCGGCCGCATCTCTGCCATGCCCGACCCGCGCTTTTCCCCGCCGCCTTCATAGGGGCGGCGGGGAAAAGCGCGGGCTCCGCGCCACCCTCCGGCCCCTCCTCCGGTGGCGGCTGCCCAGCGCACACCCACCCTCCCGCCCGGCCGGGCCGCGACGGGCCTCTTGTCCCCGCGAGTGGGTGGGCCAGCGCTTGGAACCACGTGGTGTGTCCACGGTGCAACTCCTCCTGGAACCCCGGGGTGGTAACCCGAGCCTCTTTCTTCAGTGAGGGAAGTCGTGGTGTTCATCGCCAAAGGGAAGAAATCAGAAAGTTTGCCTACCCTGGTAACGATTAGTTGGGGCGTTTTTCACACACACACACACACACACACACACACACACACTGCTAGAACAAATTTTTCCGTCTTTTTCTCCCTTCCCTGACGCCTTTCCTCCCTCCCTCCCTCCCTCCCTCCCTCCCTCCCTTCCTTCCTTCCTTCCTTCCTTCCTTCCTTCCTTCCTTCCTTCCTTCCTTCCTTCCTT